CTAAGACATCTCCAGAGGCCTCGGGATGGAAAAGGCTGTCCACATCCAAAGAAAGAACTATGGAAGTCGAATCGCTATCACTTATTTTTACCTTCTATTGAGTTTTGTTTCATCTTTCTGATGGTTTTTCCTATTGGTTTTAATTTTTACTTACAACTTCGCTAATGTGAAAATACGTTTAATGGGTATGTAAATGTAAAGCCTATGTCAGATTGTGCGCCATCTTGGGGGGGGAAGGGGGAGAAAAATTTTCAACTCAAAAGCATATGGAAGTGATTGTTGATAAATCAAAATAAATTAAAAAAAAAAAAGAAGTCTTTTGCCAGAACCAGGAGAATGCTGTACACAGTAACAGCCACGTTGTGCGATGACTAATATTGATAGACTTAACCCTTCCCAGCAATAGAAGGATCTAAGACTTCTCCAAAGGCCTCATGATGGAAAATGCTGTCCACAAAGAAGAACTATGGAGTTTGAATGCAGATCGAAGCATACTATTTGCTATTTTTTTTCCTTCTGTTGTGTTTTGCTTACTCTTTCTGGTGGTTCCTCCTATTGGTTCTAATTCTTACATCACTAATGTGAAAATATGTTTAATAGGAACGTATATGTAGAGCCTATATTAGATTGCGCGCCATCTTGGGGAGGGAAGGGGAGAAAAATTTTAAACTCAAAACCTTATGGAAGTGATTGTTGATAATTCAAAATAAATTAATAAAAATGTATCAGTAAAAATTAAAAACAAATACTAAAAAAAAGGAAGTCTTTTGCCAGTCCCCCTTCAAGTTAGTGCCTTCCCTCTAAGATGAGCTCCTGTTTATCCTGCACATATCCTATTTGTTTGCAATATTTGCATGTTGTCTTCCCCCACTAGACAGTGAACTTTTTGAAAGTAGGAATTTTATGCTTTGTTTTTTTTTTTCTTTTCACCAGTGCTTTGCACAGTGTCTGGCACATAATAGGACATTATTAAATGCTTGTTGATTGTTGATAACTTGAATGAATTTACCCATAAAACAGAAGAGAACAGCAGAACAAAACAGAAAATCGAATCTGACAATGTGTCACTTAACAAGAAATACTTTAAACATATAGAATTAAAATGAAGGACTGGAGCAAAATGTGTTATGCTTCAGCTGAACTGAAAAAAGCAGCCATGGCAATCATGATTTGAGATAAGGCTACAGTAAATACAGATGTGATCAACTAATAAGTGAGATGAGACAGAAGTAAAATTGCATTTGTCTGTTACATCTATTGTGCTTAAGATACCACAAATAATAGCATAGCATCTAAATGCTTAAAAAAAAAGTTAATTGAATTAGGAGAAGTAAAAACTATAATAGTGGGGGACCTTAATGTACCCCTTTCAGATATAGACACTTCTTTTTTTTTAAATTTTTTTTTTTAAGATTTCTTCTTTTTTTTTTTGGCTAATCAATGGGGTTAAGTGACTTGTCTGGGGTCACACAGCTAGTAAGTGTTATGTGTCTGAGATCAGATTTGAACTCACGTCCCCTCCTGACTCCACTGTGCCACCTAGCTGCTGCATATAGACATTTCTAACCAAAAAATAATCAAGAAATAAGGACCTGAATAGAACTTTACAAAATTAGCAATGATAGAGCTCTGGCCCTTATTGAATAGGAATAGAAAAGAGTTGCAGATTAATTTTATTTTTTTTTTAGTGAGGTAATTGGGGTTAAGTGACTTGCCCAGAGTCACTCAGTGAGTGTTATGTGTCTGGGGCCACATTTGAACTCAGATCCTCCAGACTCCAGGGCCAGTGCTCCATCCACTGCACCACCTAGCTGCCCCTACACATTGCCTTTATAAGAACTGACCATACAGGGGCAGCTAGGTGGCTCAGTGGATAGAGCACCAGCCCTGAAGTCAGGAGGACCTGAGTTCAAATCCGGCCTCAGACCAAACATTTGACACTTACTAGCTGTGTGACCCTGGGTAAGTCACTTAACCCCAATTGCCTAAAAGCGAAAAAAAAAAAGAACTGACCATATATTGAGGCATAAATACCGCTCAAAAATACAGCAAAAGACAAATACTAAACATATCATCTGCCAATCACAATGCAATAAAAATTATGTTCAGTAAAAGGTCTTTAAAATAATTAAAAAGTAATTGGAGACTAAATAACAATTCTAAAGAACTGATGAATGAAAAAAACAAACTGCAGAAACAATAGGGAATTTCATAAAAGAAATTAACAAGTATGAGAGAACATTCCAAAACTTGTGGGATGCAGCTATTTCTGAGGGAAAATTTTGTATCTCTGAATGCTTTTTTTCTTCCAGCATTTTTAGTAGGTGTTTAATAAAAGTTTATACTAAAAAAAAAAACTTGAACAACAAATAAAATTTCTCACAACAAAGTAGAAATTTTGAAAATTAAAGAAAAGATTAGTAAAATTGACAGCAAAAAGATCGTTGAATTGATTTTAAAAAGCTAGAAACTGGTTTTATGAAAAAACTAATAAAATAGATAAAAAGTTAGTTAACTTGATTTTTTAAAGATAAAGGAAAACTGAATTGCCCATATCAAAAATTAAAAAGGAGAGCTCTCAACTGGAGAAAAAATGAAGTTATCAGAAACTACTTTGCCCAAATAGCAGCAAAACAGATTAACTTAGAGGAAAGGACGAATACTTACAAAAATATAAAATATCCATATTAACAAAAGAAGAAATAGATGACTTAAATAATCCAGTATATGAAAAAATAAATTGAACAGGCCGTAAATGACCTTCCAAAGAAAAAGTCCAAGGGCCAGATGGTTTTACGTGTCAATTTTTATCAAACATTCAAAGAACAATAACCTTTTTAACATAAGGAAAGAAGGCACCACTCTAATCTCTTTAGGTTACAAATATGGTCTTGATACTATGTGCCGGCAAGAGACACAAAACACAAAGAAAACTACAAACCAATATGCCTAATGAACATTGAAACAAAAAATTTAACACTATTAGCCATCAGGTTACTAAAACATATTAGAAGGACTGTGTTATACTATGACCAGATTGAGTTTATACCAGAAAGGCAGGATTGGTTCAACATAAGGAATACTATCAATAGAATAATGTTAATAAATATAAATAATAAACACCATATTATCATATCAATCGATGCTGAAAAGGCTTCTGACAATATCCAGCATACACTTCTATTAAAAACTCTAAAAAAAAATGGGAATAAATGGATCTTTCACTAATATAGCAAATAAAATCTATATAAATACAAGAACAAACATATGTAATGCAGAAAAGTGAAAAGATTTTCCAATAATATCAGGAATAAAGCAAGGATGCCAATTATCACCATTCCCAATTTTTACATTATTTTTGTTTGTTAAATTAAAATTTTATTTTCAGTCAGAAAAAATCCACCCTCTCCTTTCTACCCATCCTTCTCTTCCAAATGAAAAAGAAAAACAAAACTACTACAGCTATGTATAGTCAAGCAAAACAAATTTCCCCATCAGCCATTTCCAAAAAATTATTTCTTATTTTGTATTTTGAATCTTTCACCTATCAAGAGGTGGGTAGCGTGTTTCATCATAGTCCTCTGAAATCATAGCTGATCAGAATTCGTAAATCTTTCAAAGTTGTCTTTATAATATTGTTGTCATTGTATATATTGTTCTCCTGATTCTGCTCACTTCACTCTACGTCAGTTCGTACAAGTCTTTTCAGGTTTCTCTGAAACCATCCCCTCCATTTCTCACAGCACAATAGTATCCCATTCCATATATGTATGTATATACCATAACTTGCTCAGTCATTTCCCAATTGGAGAGCACCACTTTAGTGTCCAATTCTTTGCCACTGAAAAAAAAGAGTGGCTATAAATATTTTTGCTCATTTTAGAATTTGTTTTGCTTAGAACTAATCCCTCCCTTAATCCGACATCTCTCTTATTCCTCTTTCTCCCTTCTTTTTCCTTGTACCAAACGGTGTACATAGATATTCTTCCTTCTTTTGACCAGTTCAAATGAGAATGAGATTCAGCTGTCAGCTGTTCCTCACATCCCTTTCTCCTCCTTTGTACAGACCTTTACTTGGACACCTTGACTAGGTAAGATAATCTTCCCTGACCTTCTTCGCCTCTCTCTCCCCAGTGTATTCCTCTTCCTTTCCCTCTCCCATTTTCTTTTAAGATAATTAAGACCTTATAGAACTACTCTCAGACCTTCTATCTTACTTATTAAACTATTTCTATGACCCCTGATGATGATGATGTTCGTCTATTTCAGTCGTGTCTGACTCTTCATGACCCTATTTGGAGTTTTCTTGGCAAAGACACTAGAGTAATTTGCCATTTCCTTCTCCAGTTCATTTTAAAGATGAAGAAACCGAGGCGAAGAGGGTTAAGTGACTGTCCCAGGATCACAAAGCTGGTAAGCGTCTGGGGCTATATTTGAACTCAGGTAGTTGAGTCTTCCTGACTTCAGGCATGGCACTCTATCTACTGGGTCACCTGAGCTGACCTCTGATGACACTAGCCTTCCAAGGAAATGCATGCATCATCTCCCTGTATTAGAATATAGTTTATCTGCATTTAGTCTCTTATGATTGTTCACTTGTGTTTTTCTTTTTTATGTTTCTCTTAACTCCTATGTTTGCACTTCAGATTTTCTGGTGGAGGTGACAGGAGAAGGAAAATAGCAATTAGTATTTGCATCCAGCTGATAGCTAAAACTAAGGCCCAAACAGCCTTAGGGACCAGAAAGGTCAGGGAATTCAGTGCCTTTGGTTCTTTTAGAAAACAGCCAAAGCAACTGGGTAAAGGAGAATACCAATAAAGCACTTTAGAACTCGGATTGCTGAGATGCTCAGTTGTGATGTCAGAGGACAAATGGTAGGACTCACTCTGATTCTATTCCTGCCTCCTGTGTGAGAGGTGGTGGGGTATGTCTGGAATGAGGCATCCTTTGTCTGACATGCCACTTTGTTGATTTGTCCTTAACTATACTGCTTTACCAGGATGAGGAAGAGGAGGGTGGGAGTCAACAAAAACACTTTGTAAAAGTAGTGAAAGACAAAAGCTCTGGGACCAAAGTAGCTCCTATGCCACCACACTCTTTTTCCCTTCTCCCTACCTTTGCCCTGGCTGTTCTGCGTGCCTAGAATACCGTCCCCTCCTCATTTCTACCTCCTGGCTCTCATGGCCTCCTTCAAGACCGCTCACATCCCACTTTCTGCAAGAAGTATTTCCTGGTGTCTTCCCCTGGTCCCCGGCTAGGACTTTCTCCTCTGAGATTACCTGTGATCCACTCTGTATCTACTTTATATGGAACCAATTAATAAAAGACCTGTGGGATCAGCTCAACTCTGCAGAGATGGTCCCCCAAGAAGCCGACTCAGGGTCAAACTGAAACAAGAGCTCTTCTGATTTCCCCCATCAAAAGCAGACACAGACTCCCCCGACGGGTGACCAGATTCCTCTGCCTGTAGTCCCAGCCAAGCAGGGTAACACCCAGGGCTCCCACCCCAGCCCCCCAGGCCCCACCTTCATTTGTTGCTAGGGCCTTGCTGCTTGTCCTCTCTTTGTTGTTAGCAACAATAGACCTCCCCTCCTACAAAGAGGACAGTGGCAGCAGTTCTAGCCTGATCAGGAAACATGGGGGGGTCCTAAGTGGGAGCATGATCGTCCTTACGTCCCTCAGGGGACTCTGGAAACTGACTTCCCCACACCTCTCTATAGGTGAGTCTCTAGGATGGAGGATGGGCACCGCCTCCCACCCCCACCCCTACCATCTCTGTCCAGCTCAAGGCTACAGACAGCAGAAGTCTCATGGAGCTGGAGTGGGTTTAGATTGGGAAAATAGGGAGCTGCTTGATTCCAACCTCCCAAACAGCTGATGCCAGAAGGGATCTTAGAGCACTGAATATCGGAGCAAGGAAAGGACCTTAGAACATAGTCTATCAGAACTAAAAATGTACCTTAGAACATAGAAAACAGAATCAGCGAACAGAGAACAGACTATTAGAACTGAGAAGGGCCCTTACAGGTCACGAAGTCCCATTCACACTTTCTGTTTCTAGTTTCATGTAACAATGGTTATCAAGCCCTCATCTTCTCACCTTCAGGCTCTTCTCAGCTTGGTCACTTTCCTCCCTTTGCAGTCTTCATAGATTTACCTCTCATCTGAGCCCTCAAACCAGATCTCCCGTCAAGGCTCAGTTCAAATCCCGCCTTCTGCACAGGCCCTGTTCCTGGTGCCCCTCATCTTTGCCACTGCTAGTACTTCCACTTCTTAGATCACTTTTCCTCCACTCAGAATCTATCTCGTGTCCAAACAATCACTAGTGATAAAAAGTTTTGAAAAAGTAAAAACACTGTTCAGGCCTTCAGAGAGCTCATATTCTAATGGAGAAGACAACATCTAAATAACTTTGCACATATGGGGAAGGAAAAGGGGGTCCAATACCAGGCCTGGAGTTAGGAAGGATCATCTTCCTGGGTTCAAATCTGGCCCCAGACACTTACTGGCTGCGTGACATTGAGCAAGTCACTTCACCCTGTTTGCCTTAGTTTCCTCATCTGTCAAATGCATTGAAGAAGGAATGGCAAACCATTCTAGTATCTCTGCTAAGAAAACCCCAAAGGGGGCCACAAAGAGTTGGGCAGACTGAAAGGCCTCAACAACAATAAAAGGGGAATAAGAATCTATATAGCACTTACAATGTGTTAACAAGCATTTATATAGCGCCTACAATGTGTTACCAGCCTTTATTTAGCACCTACATAGTGCTAATCAATTTAGGAATATCTCATTTGGTCATCAGAACAATTCTGAGAAGTAGGTGCTATTGGTATTCCCATTTTACAGTTGAGGAAACTGAGGCAAATAAGGGTAAAGTGATTTGCCCAGAGTCACATAGCCAGTTTGGGGCTGGATTTTAACTCTGGTCTTCTGACTCCAGGCCTAACATTATCTACAGAGCCACCCAGGTTTATTTAGTTATTTGCATTGGATATTATCTAACTCCATTAGACTCTAAGTTCCTTGAGGGCAGGAATTATTGTTGCCTTTCTTTGTATACCCAGTGCTTATAGCACATTGCCTGGCACATAGTATGCTTTACTAATAAAAGTTGGCTGACTGTTTTTACAAGGCACAGAAATGTTTAAATGGAAATTTCTCCCAGTCTTTTGGAGCAATGGAATAACCCACCCCCTGCAGAAGGTTTCTAATCATTATTATTGGGATGGTCATTATTGTGATTACCTTTATAGTTCTTTATGATTATGAAGCCTTTTTAGCTCCTGTGATCCTCAGAATAACTACCCTGTGGAGTAAGGAATTCAAGAATTATTCTCTTTCTCCAGGTAGCAACAATCTCACATTATGTACTGCTTTTAAGGTTTACCAAAGATGAAGAAATGGAGGTGCAGGGCAAGGCAGTGGGGTTTGGTCAAGGGTACGCAAGGATTCAGGAAGAAAGCTGGGAGCTGAACCCAGGACTCCAATCACCCAGTGGGTTCTCAATGGTCCTGGCAGTCACCAGTTGCTGCAACATGACCCCCAACTAGACTGAGTTCTCTTTGTCCCTCTTCCTCTCTCCTGGCCCAATGGGTTTCTTAAAATTGCCAAGAAGGATTAGACTGTCCCTCTGCCTTCTAAATAGAAGAGTTGGCACCTTAATACCTGATGTGGTTATATGAACATACACAGACCATGTCTCCTCCACCCCAGGCCCTTAATGAATCAACAGGGATCCCAGCCCCAGATTTTTTTCATAGCCTTCCTATCCCTTCACAGCTAACTTAACTTCGGAAAAAACTTGCAAACTCAATGTCCCTCTCCCCTCCCTTTTCCCTGCTCTCCTATCCCAAAAGCAGGTATTCTCAACCTGGAGTCCATGAACTTTAAAAAAAAAATTTTTTTTAACAACTATCTTTCAATATAATCTGTTTCCTTTGTATTTTATGCATTTAAAAACATTATTATGAGGAGTTCATAGACCACCTCCTTCTCTTCCCACTAAGGCCCCCTGAAGCCTCAACATACCCCTGGAAAAAGCTGAGGGTTCCCCGTACTCCCAGCCCAGCCCTACTGACCTTTCTCTTTCCTCATAGCGATGAGTACCTCACTCTTCCAGGCCCTAGATGGGCACCCACCATGAAGCAGAGTGTCCGATGGAAGTTCACTCCTATGGGACATGATGCCATAGGACAGTGGTGTACACGGGCTTGAGCAACAACCCAGATGTCTGGTACAACATGACCAATCCTATCAGCCGCCCAGCCTACACCCGATGGCACCGATCCTATTCCCAGCGGGAGCAGACCTTCGCCCCTGGTAAGGCCAGGGCCCTCTCTCCACTTGGACATTCTGAGCTGGGCTGAGTAGGCAGCTAGCTTCCACTCTTATTTTACTGAGGCCCAAAGAATGAGGGAGACTCACTCAAGACCACATTGTGAAGTTAGGGATGGGGTTGAGACTAGTATTCAAGTCTCTTAATTCTTAGTTCCAAAGGTCTTTCCATTACCCTTAATGCTGTGTCTGCAGGGGGAGTTTATGTGAGGGTCCATAGTGGCAGGAACCACCCTCGTTTTCTCTCTGGGGACAGAGGGCAAAGTGGGACGTTATCCTTGGGACAAGAAAGGAAAACACACTGGGGAAGAAAGGGGCTTCACTCAGAACCTGACATCTTCCTCCCCGATAGCCTATACCCAGCATCTTCGAGAAAGCTCCTGGTATGATCCCATACTCCCTGCCCAATACATGGAGCCTAGCACCCGCCGGGGGAACCTTCTATGGCAGGAAAAGCTCCTCCCAGGCAAGGAGTTTGGTGAGTAGGAGCTAAGCAGGGGTGGGAGGGTGTGGGGGATGGACAGTAGGGGGCAAGATTGCATCTGGGTTCAGAGGGCTAAAGGTAGGAGGGCTGGCTAGAGGGAAGAGGGGCTATCACAGAGGGAGAGGGTCATTGCCAATCTTTCCCCTACTTCCCATCTGGTAGGGCCAAACCCCGTCCCAGTCCAGGTTCAGGTGAACCTGTCTCCAAGGCCCCTCTCAAAAAGAGGGAAGTTGCCCAGACCATGCAATGACATTTCTCCTCCCCACTCCCACCTTTCCCCAGTTGTTAACCGGAATCACTTTGGGACTCCAACTGGCAAAGGCTCCAACTATGTCCCCTTCCTGTCTGTGCCCAACCGGCCATGTTATACCACCCAGAACTTCCGACTATGGAATCTAGAGCCCTACTGCCCGTCTACCAAGCAGCGGCCCCCACCTGTCCACAGACCCAAACACTAATAAAGGTGTAACACTGTGCATGACCCACTTCTCCTAGGGCCTTTGAGAGGAATTGGCGCCAGCCCTCCCACTCACCCTTCCCTCCATTCTCTCTAGGACAGGTCCTTCGAGGGCACTGTCCATCCAGCTGCTGGGATGGGACTAAGGTGGGACAGCCTAAGGCATAGACTCACATACAATCCCATTTGGACCCCTCTAGCTAAACAGTCCCAAATGGCGAAACACATGCCTAACTTATAACTGCTGACATTTTATGGTTCTCTAAGGTTTGCAAAGTGCATTCCATATCTGTTTGATCCTTATAATACTGTGAGGTAGGTAGTAAAGTATTATCTCCATTTTGCAGATAGAGAAACTTGAGGCACAGGTTATATGGACAGGAAGGGAATAGTAGGAATGAGGCTGTAGGGGACAGAAAGAATACCAAGATGCATCTGGGATGGGAGAGGGGCTGGTCACATGGCCAATGTCAGGTGAGGTCTGTGCCTTGGTAGAGAGAGTCTAGCCTGGCCTAGCATTCTTTTCAGTAACTCCAGGCTGCAGATTGACTTGGCATATATACCTGCCACTACATGGACACCTGCATCCCTACAGTGCTTTAGCTAATCTCATTTGCCACGGGCATACATGTACGTTAGGGGCTCTTAAATTGAGATAGATGTCAAACCTCAACTTGGGTAGGGAAAAAATGCATCTTAAATTTAACTTATCTAACTGAAATTTAGCATTTCCTTCATATAAACGTAGGAAACAAATTTTATTCAGACAAGGGATCCCTAGATTCCGCCAGACTGTCAAAGGGGTCCGTGAAACAAAAATGGTTAAAAAAACCAAACTGATCTACATATATAAATACATATGCCACACAAACACACACACCTGGACATCTGTGTGCATGTGTGTAACTTTCTGACAGGCCAAAGTAATAGGCTAAACCTAACAGAATAAAATTCATCAGGGACAAAAGTGAAGTCTGACACTTGGGTTCAAATGATCAGTTGCCCAAGTATAGGGTGGGGGCAGATGTGACCAGACAATGTTTCTTGGTTAAAAGATCTCGGTGTGGGTCCAGCCCAAAGCCATTTTGGGTTATGCTGAATGTCTGGGGAGGGGAGAGAGCATAATCCCTCTCTGCTCTCCCCCTGGTCAGACCACAGTTGTAGTGGGAGTCCCATGCTCAGTTCTGGAGGTCAGTTCTAGGAGGAAAACTGACAAGCAGGACTGGACTGTGGACAGAGAAGGGTGACCAGGGTGGGGAGAGTGAAGAAAACCATACCATACACGTGGCAAAGAAAGTGTGTGTGTGGGGGGGGGAGATAAGAAAGCTTTCTTAAAATTGTTCAAGGGGTGACATAGAGTAGAGGGATAAAACTTGTTTTATTTGGCACCAGAGGACAGACACAGGAACCATTGGGGTGGGGGGGGGGAAGGGGGCTGGAAGGGGAGACCAGGAAGGGGAGGAGAGAAAAGCTTACAGGGAGGTAGTGAGTTCCCCAAGACCGGAGGCATTCAGGAGGGCCCAGGTATTAATTACAGCATGGCAAACAGCACATGCACAGGCCACACAAAGATCCCTCTTGAAAGGCAAAAAAATCCTCTCCAAAAGTCCCCGTAAGGGAATTAGGCGGGATCATGCCCCTTTTGCAGATGGAAAAAATGAAGCCCAGAAAGAAGTTATTTTCTAAGGTCAGAGTAAGTCAAGGTGAAGAGCCAAGTGGCGTCCCTTCCCTCTCCCTCTTCAGTAGGGGATGGAGACCTCCTTAGTGCCTGCAATGTCACCTGCCCTCAGATAGCTGTGCTCCAGAAGTAGAAGAAGGACAAAAGACACGAGACCTTGCTCCTCCTTCCCTTCTGGGCCCCTCCATCCTGAAGCCAGTAATCCCCATAAGCTCAGAGCTAAGGATGAGATAAGAGAAGATACTGGGATCCAGGAGGTTCAAATTTCCGTCACCCTCTCCTCATCACCCTTCAGTCCCTCCAAGTGTGCACACCGGCTCCAAATGCAGAATTCCCACACTCACAGTGGGACTTTTATTCATTAGTCCAACATTCTTTGTAAACAGCTAGCAGCCCAGAGATCCCTGGTCAGAGAAATGGGCCCGAGAGACAAACGAGGATTCCCCAGACCCGCTGGGGGTGTTCCATTGCAGGAGACCCTTAGATGTGAGTCCCAGTACCCAGGGAAGGAGGAGGAGGAGAGTCCATGTGCACAGACGCCTGAGGTATCCTGAGTGTTCAGTTGACTGTAATGTCCTGTGAGGCTCCCGAGTTTGGTCTAGCGGCACCTTCAGCTGGGCCAGCCGCAGTTGTATCATCTGGGGGTAGGAGAGTCAGAAGAAGGGGCACACAGAAGGATTAGCTCAGAACTCAAGGCCACTTCCCCTCCTCCTCTGAACCCCTAATCCCTGAGGTCTCCTTGGCTCACCCTACAGGGTCACCGGGAAAGGTCCTGGAGAGAATGGGAGTGGGCCCTCCCTCAATCCTCAGCTGACAAACCCCACCCCTCAGGAATGCTGGGGTGGAGGGAAAACCCCTTTGCAAAGGAATCACCCTCTCTTCACCCCCCTCAAACCTAGTTCCTAAGCATCCTGGTAGAGGGACATCGAAAAGGGCCACGAGGATAAAGTTTAACATGGCCTCACTTTCACCCACAAATGGGATCCACATCAGGATTCTCATCCTCCAAGGAGGCCTCTGGGGAAAAGAACTGCGATGAGGTGGGGGAAGGCAGAGAATAGGCAAAGGGTGTAGGGAAAAGCTCTATTCTGAAGCTTGTAGACAAGGTTTCAGGTTCAAATTTACATAGATTTGCATATATTTTATGGGCTTGGGAAGGCATAGTCAGCTCCATCCTCCCATGGAGCCTGGGCACGGAGCCCTGCCCCCACTCTCCCTGCTAGCCTCGTTTAAGGCTAACCTTCATCATCTTCTGAAAGAGAAGGGGAGGGAGAAAGATAGCTACTTCAGCAGAAGGGAAAGACTTCCCCCAACTTCATTCCCTACTCCCTTACCCTATCTGGGGCAAAATGATCCTGCCCTTGATCCAGGGGAGAAGAGATGGGGTAAGGAATGGGAGGGGCTAGGAGCAACTCACAGAATCGAACTTGGATGGGCCAGAGAAAGATGCTACAGAGACAGAGGGCAGCGGCCACGCCCACACCTCCTGTCACGGCCACCATCACCCAATGGTAGAAGCCCATGCAGGCTGCACAGCACAGTTCTGAGCTAGAGAGATGCCACCCTGTGAGTTCCCCTGCCCACCAACCTGCCTGCCCCAAACAAGGAGCTGAGACAGACCGGGGGCCCCAAACCCAGAGGTACTGTCACCATTACATAGCCACCCACACTACAATTTGACATAGCACCCTTTCTCCACTCAGGTACACCCCCCCGGCCCAGAAATGCCCCCTTCCCTAGACAGTGAGACAGCCTCCTCAGACTCACGAGCAGGGGTATAGGCTCTGGATGGCCATCACAGCCAGCCCGTTGGCTACCTTGTCTGTGAAGCTCATGGCCCCATACACAAAGGCCCCACTGTTCTGGAAGAGAGAAGAGGTCTGTCAGCATGTCCCCCTGTACTAGACCCTACTGGGTGGGCAGGCAGAGGAGACTCCCGCAAGCTCTTCCCAGCCCAGCCCAGGCCTTACCGTGTGGCTGCCAATAAGGTCAGCTGTCATGGACAGGGACATAACCAGGATGGTGGCTGAGCCAATACCCAGGAGTACTGCCGCTCCATACACAGCTATCCCTAGTGAGTTGCCCAGCGCCACCCATGAGGCGAAAGCCAGGATGACCAAGAGGCCTACAAAGTATGTCAGCTGGTAGAGGACAAGAGTGGAGAAGAGAGAAAAGAATACATGACAAACATACACACATATATGTTTATATATGTACACAGTATGCATGTATATACACACACAGACGTGCATGTGTGTCTATGTATAGACACGCAGGCACACCACATGGTGGTAGGGTCTGTCTTCTACAGGCCGTCCCTTCTTTTCTTTTCTGTAGATCCCCCAAATATCAGCCACCTCTTCCGGGGAGCCTTTCTCTCCACGATGAGGAAGGCAATAGGTGTACTCAGAAGAGCTCTGCAGATTAGACTTGTTGTACTCGGCCCCAGGGGCATAATTAGGAGCAGTGAGTAGAAAGTTGCAACAAGGCCAACTGAGGCTGGAAGCCAGAAAAAACTTCCTGCGGATGATGATAGCTGGCCCAAAGTGGAACAGGCTGCTTCCCGAGGTGGCAGTTCCCCCTTCCTGGGAGATCCTCAAGGAGGGGCTAGCTGACCACTTCTCAGGAATGTCCTTCTTAGCTGGGACTCCCGGTCAGGGATGGGCTGGATTAGAGGAGGCTGGGATTCTCAGACCTGAGGCATCTCTAATCCTGACAGCTGCTCACCATGTGAACCTGGAACGATTCCCTTGCCTTCTCTGGGCCTCTGGCCGGCCAGTGTGTCTAAGGCAGGACCCATCTCTAACACTGTAAGGTCTAAGGACTCTCCATCAGACCCCATCATCTCACTCACATTCCGACCAATGCGCTTGTTCACTGGCTTCATGAAGAAAGAGGAGAAGAAGCCGCTGACATACATCACAAGGGGGATGGTCGCAATGAACTTCTGTTGGAGGGGATTAATGGGGTATGGCAGGTTACAGGGTTCTCCTGTTTGCTCATTGCTGTCCACCCCGCCAAGCTGTCACTCCCCACCTCCATACCCCAATCTCCTCGACAGCCCTAAGTCTTGTCAGCCTGTGACCTTGGAAAAATTACTTCCTTCCTCTTCCCCTCCCCACTCCTGGGCCTCAATTTCCTCATCTGTAAAATGGAGACAACTGGACTTTATGAGATTCTTCCCAGCCATACTACTTTCTGTTCTAAGGTCTCCTTCCCAGCCCTGACTTTCCACATTTCTCTCAGACTCCTTCCCATTCTGCGGAGTCTGATTCCCTGCCTCTCCCGGGCCTCACCTTGGGCAAGCTGAGAGAGTAGGTCAGATACATAGCCATATACGTCTGTGACAGGTTCACAATGAGCCGTGTGCTCATATACAGCATGCCCACCTGAGGAATGGACAGACGGGGCAGAGGAATGGACACTCAAGGCCCTACAATGTCTGTGTGTGGGGGGGAGCCGCACAGAGGGCAGGCAGATGAAGGCAGAGCAGGCTTTGGACGTGAGGTCTGGCAGAGTGGGCAGTGATCCAGGACTCAGGTGGAAGAGTGCCCATGAGCTTGAGGGAAAGTGGCGGGGGAGGCAGGAGAGCAAGGCAGGGAAGGCTCCCTGGTGGTTTTGTCTGGTGTTTGGGAAGGCCCAGGCCGCTCATACCTGGTAAAAGGACGGCTCCCGAAGCCAGTGCTTCCAGAGGAGCATGGGCTGGGTGGTGGGCGGGAGCAGGGGGCTGTGCTCGCCGGGCTCCTCAAGCCCATGCCGCTGCCGAGGCCGCTCTTTGGTGCCCAGGTGGAAGAGCAGGGAGAAGATGGCACCGACACAGACGACCATCAGGGAAAGGTTCTGGGGGGAGTTGGGGGGGGTTTATGTTGCTTCAGCCTGCAGGCCAGGCTTTCATCCTGGCTCATTCCTCAACCCCAACCCTTCCCAGCCTAGCTGAGAGCTCCTCAAGGGCATACCTACAGCTGCCCTTTCTCCTTGCTCTGCCCCGCTCCCCTCCTGTTCCTCAACCAGTGAAGCCCGGGCCAGGGCTGGACACATGGAGCCTCCTGGACTACTCAGCCAGCATTTAAGCACTAATGCCCTTCGACCTGCCTCCTCCGTCAGCAGACCTTCGTCCCTCACCTCGCCATCCTTTTCTTATCTAGCTCCAGCTGGTGGAGGACCCAGATGTGGTCACCAGAGCCTAGCAGACCTTCCAAACCTGTCAGTCCCTGGGAGAATTTCCTTCTTCAGCAGGTGGCACCCCTCCCCTCTATGCCTTCTAGCCTCTGTCCATTCTGATTCCTAGACTTTGCTCTACTCCTTAATCCTCCCTCCCCATAATTCCATGCCTCCCTTCCCAGTCTTCCTCCAAATCTCTCCCAGCCCTCTACTTCTCCTTTATACCTCCTCACACCCACTTCCTCAATCCTTCCCCTTAATCCTAGCTCTCTTTCCCCCAGTCCCTGCCGGACCCCTGCTCACCCTGAACACCGGCACATCCTGTAGGCCTAGCTGGTCACTGGTGTCTAAATCAGGGGCCTCAGAGTGGGACCCCTGGAAATGGAGAAGCAGCCAGGCAGCCCCATACACAGCAATGTTGGCCACTACGGTGAAGGCATACCTGGAATGATGGGTAGGGAGGAAAAGAGGCAGGCATCAGCAAAGGTTGGGGTGGGAGGGAGACTCCTGGGCAAGGCCCTATCATTTCCCTCTTTCCCACACCCAAACACTGAGGCCTAAGTGAGACTGACACATCTATCTGGCTATCCCTTTCCTTTCCCCCTAAACCACAGGGAACAGCTCCCCCAAGGCCCAGCCAGGCCCAGGTCTTAAGAGTCGTCTCTAATTAAGGGTGAAAGCTGAGAAAGAGGCAGCTAACCATCCCCCAGGGCCCTGCCTGTTCCTTTATCTGGGGGCCCTGCAGCATACCCACGGTTATGTAATACTGACCATTGCCCAATTCACCAACCCCCTGTTCCCTGGGACAGGCAACAGCCCTAAGTAGGGAGATAAGGCAGTCGGTGAGGGGAAACCTAACCCTCTATCAACAGAGGGCTTCAGATGGAACCCCAGAGAAACACCCCACAACTGGGTAGTTATGGGGAAAGAAAGTGAGTGGGCTGTGGGCTGTGGGCTGGAGCCAATGCCCAGAGTTCATAGTCTTAGAATATCAGAGGGAGAAAGAGCCTTAGGCCACAATGCACATTAGGCTAGAAAGGAGGGATCTGGAGATCACCCAATCGTCCAAGGATTCTTAACCTGGGGGCTGAGAACTTTTTAAAATTTTAATATCTTTATTCAATATAATTGGTTTCCTTTGCAATTCTATGCATTTTATATGTTTGATCGTAAAAGGTGTCCATGACATATTCTAGATTGTGAGATCCTTGAGGACAGGAACCATGCTTTTGCGCTTAGCACAGTGCCTGGCACACAGTAGGCACTTAATAAATGCTTGTTGACTGACAAACTGAGAAAAGGTTAAGAATCTTTCATCGAATAAAACTTTCATTTTAAAGCTGAAGAAACAGGCCCCAGGAGGCGATAGAGGCAGAGCCGGAACTAGATGTTGGCTTTCTTCTATCGATGCCACGGATTTTTGACATCAATATTTTAACATTCCCTAGCTTGGGGTTTCTTTTGATCTAGTTTTCCTAGAGGTACTTGAAATCCCAAAGAGCAGAGAGAGTGTCCTCTGTATTTTTGTATCGCCCAACAGTGCATGGCCAGACACTTTACACAGTGCTGGAGTGTGCCAGTTATTTTTACATTTTACCACCTTAACGGCAGTGGAGAAGGGCAGCAAACAAAGGCGAGGTAAAGGAGCAAGGGGGGTGCTCCAGAGAACCGCTGCTACCTCTAACCCATCTGGTGCCCCTCAAGTGCCCAGAATTACCTGAAGGCGGTGAGCTCTACCTTCTCATGGTCATTGGTGACCAGCTCAGGGATTAGAGACAGGTGGGAGATCTGCGTGGCCGCCCAGCCAAACTGGAAGATCACAATGAACGGTGCATAGTAGATGAGGGCAGCCCACTCTGAGGTGGACGCTGTGCACCCCAGACAGGGGTTAAAGATGAAAGGGAAAGAGAGCAGGACACAAACGGTGCCTAGTGGGGGGAAAGAGAAGGCAGCATTAGATTAGACAATCAGTGCCGGAGGGACCTGAGAACTGACTCCCTCCTCCCCCACACCCAGAAGGACAAATCCACCCCAGGGCTGACAGCAAGGCTGGAGCAGGATGCTAGTACGTGACTCTGCCCTCGTTCTGATACAGAGGAATTAAACTAATGGGACTGGTAGAATTGACAGTCAAAGCCAACAGATTTCCCCCTCTTTTTTTCTACCCTAGAAAGCCCATCGTAACCATGCTGGACATCTCCAGACATTGTCACTGGCACCTCAAACTCAACAGGTCCTGAACCTTGCTTCTCTCCCAAATCTACCCCTCTCAGGCCAATTCTCCTATTTCCATTAAAAATCAGGGATTACTCCTCTTCCTTGAGTGACTCCCTTGAGACAGGAGTCACCAAATCCAGTAGAGTCAACCTCCAGGCCATCTTTCCCAGCAGCCCCCCTCTCTCCATCCACACAGAAACCACACCCTGCTTCATTCAGGCTTTCTTCACCTTTCCCCCATAGACCTTCCTGACTGATATCTCAGCTGGCCTCCAGCCTTTCTCCTGAAGTCCAGTGGAAAGAACTCTGGCTCTGGAATCAGAAGACACTGGCTTGAATCCTTGCTCTGACCCAAGCAAGTGACCCAGCCTTTCCGAGCCTCAGTTTCCTCATCTGTAGAATGAGGAGCTTGGCCTCTGAGCTCCCTGCCAATTCCTATGGTCCTTCTTTCATATGATTGCCAAAAGAACCTCCTGGGATTGGATCTGTCCATGTCATCCCCTCCCTCTTGCTTAAAAACCTTCAGTGGCTCCGTACTGATGAGGATGGGATCTAGACCCCAAAAAGGAAAAACCCTGGACCTTCCCACAAGGCCAAATCTCTGGCATTTGCCTGAGGCTATAATCCATCAACTGGCTTTTCATTGTGGCTACACCCAATCTCCCGATTGTTACCCTCAACCTAACCTAGTCCTCCATTGTTTTACCTCCCTAAGACCCGGCCACTTCCCACCCTTAATCCTATTTAGGCTCCCATTCTCCCTAGGCCCCCCCTGGATTTCTATTACCTTATTAGACTACTTGACCACTCCTACCTAGATCCCTCCCATAGTCTTTCCCATATATAAGGTCCATCTTGTCTCTATTAAGACACTTAGATTCTTAAAATCTAGCTAATGGCTTACTAATGTTCAAACTCCTTAAGAGTCTGCCCAATATGACTGATGTTCTAATAAACCTTGTGTTTGGCTGAAAGAAGGCTTGGGTCGAATTCTTTCCGGCAGTACCCACATATTGTGATTTTGGGGTCCTAGCACCCCTTAACTCCTAAACCTCAACACCTACTACCCCCAGGATAGACAAAACCCAAACTCCTTAGCCTGGCATGGAAGGCCCTCTACAATCTGGATTCAGTTTATCTTTCCTATCTTACTTCAAATGACTCCCCTTCACACATTCAACTGAGGTCAAACCACTCAACCGGTCATTTTTTGAGAATGACCTGACATCTCGCCTCCTGGCAGCTGGGAGCCACAGTGGACAAAGTCAGGAAGACCCGAGGTCCAATCTGACCTCAGACACTGGCTGGGTGATCCTGAGCAAGTAGCTTAACTTCTGTCTGCCTCAGTTTCCTCAACTATAAAATGGGGATAATACTAATAACTACTTTGATGTTATGAGGATCAAATGAGATATTTGTAAAGCGCTTAGAATAGTTCATGGCACATAGCAGGCACCTAATAGAAGCTTGTTTCCTTCCTTCTGGGCATTCATGCCATCCCCCTATGCCTGGAATACCCTTCTACTTCATCTTTGCCTTTCAAAGTCTTCGCTTTGCGCCTTAGCTCAGTGGCTACCTTCCCTGTGAAGCCTTCTCTGATCCCCCAGCTAAAAGGGGGCTCTCAGAACACCTGGCTATGTCTCTTCCACCCCCTCATTCCCTCCTTTGCCATGGTCCTTGTGCACCTGTCATCACTGCTCCCAGCCCCCCATAGAAGGGAAGGGAAGCACCTTTTAAAATTTACTTTGTATACAATACACTTAATGTTTGCTGAACTGCACTGAACTGGAACTAGAACAAGTGTTCTGATTTTCCAGGCCAGGTTCTTTCACTCCATCTTGACAGGGCCTAATGTTAAGATCCTGGGCCCAACTCCGACCCACTCTAACCTCAGATCACACTGGGAGAAGAAGTTTTTGGATAAGAGATTTTATAAAATATAAATGATTATAGAAATGAGAGCTAATGCTAATGACAATCCCAGGAATAATGAACAACCAGGTCAACAGATGGATTTCAGTGATCCAGTGTCAGAGCTGGGAGGGCCCTTAGGACATAAAACAGTCAGAGCTGGGTCTTTACAGATTATCTAATCTAACAACCTTATTTTATGAATGGGCTAAATGAGGTCCACAGATGAATGAGGTCACACATCAACTCAGTGGTAGAACCAAAACTAGAACCCAGGTCTCCTTACTTCTAGCTCAGAATTCTTTCCACAGCACCACAGCTGACTCTCACTTTGGTTGGCATGGGACCCAGTTGGCCCTGAGGGAAGGGGAGACAAAGAAGAGAGAGACTGAGGAAGAGGAGGGGGGAGGGGGAGATAGATGGAGGGGTGGCTAGGTGATAAGGAAACCCCAAACCCTTTCTCCCTCCAGGCTAGTGCTTCCTGGGTTTCTAAATCCAGATCAGTCAATGTTTCTGTGTGACTATGGGCCACTCCTCATCTACAAAATGGGTGTGTGGGGAGGAAAAGTTCCTAAGGTCCTTTCCAACACCAACATTCAATGATTCAAGCCCCTACCTCTGGGGAAAGTGATTCCTTTTCCTCCTTAAAGGGAGAGTCTTCCACCCAGCTGGCACAGGAACAGGCCCTGTGCCAGAGCTTCAGACCAGCCAGTTACCTGTCAGGCTGCTCTACTCTGTGACATAATCTATTGTCTCATCCCCAAGTGACCTTCCTTCCTTCCCCTTCCTGACTTCAGATTTGGGAAGTGAAACCAAAACTGGCTCTCCTGGGTTTCTCTGGAATTCACTGGAGTTAAAAGACCCAGGAATGGAGGGAGCCCAAGATTTTCTGACCAGCTTCCTTAAGGGCAAGCCACTTCCCTTCTGTGGCTGTTTCTGTGAAACATGGGGGTTGTACTTCCAAGGTCTCTTCCAGCTCTAAATGAAATTCTATGATCCCTTTCTGCCTTAACATGTTCTCAAGGGCCTTCTGTGCCAGAACTCATGAAGTCCCAGCTGTTGGACTCTGAACAGATGGACCCCTGTAGAATCGCCAGCTCTGCCCATTCTCTCCAGCCCCGCTTCTTCCCTCTTTCCCCCTGCCAGTGTTAATGATTCCCACGGAGTCTGGGGTGAGGAGAAGCAGCTTTCCCAAGGACCAAGAAGCAGTTGGGGTTAAGGGTCCCTGGGTAGCCAGTCTCCAGGGACACTTAGTCTTCATCATCTCCTGTAGGGACTCCTTAGATTATCTGTATTCCCTACTGGGAAGAGGCTTCAAAGAGAAGGGCTTCTCCCCTCCAAGGGCTCGGTAAAGGGAAGGAGACAGACATACCAGGGCCTGGATTTCATGCCCTAGGCAAAGGCACCATCAAGGGGCAGAAGACTTGCTCTTTGTCCCCTATACACAACAGCTAGGACAGCTCAGTGGGGGCTTCCAAACATAGCTTCAGGGTACAGGATGGGAGAGGGGCAGAGAGACAGAGAGGAGAGAGGGAGGAGGAGAGACAGAAACAGGAGAGAGTACAACAGAGAGATAGAGGCAAACAGAAAGGAGCAAGGGAGGAGAGACAGAAACAAAGAGGAGAGAGACAGGAGAGAGGAAAGAGAGGGAAAGACAGAAACAGAGAGAAGAAAGTGAGACAGATAGAGACAAAAAGGAGACAGGGAAGAGGAGAGAGACAAGAGGAGAGAGAAGGAAAGAGAGGGAGAGAGGGAGGGAGGGAGGAAAGAGCGAAGGAAGAGAAGAGAAGAGAGGGGCGAGAAGAAGAGAGCGAGAGAACAAGAGAGAGGAGAGAGACCAAGTGTTGCAGGGAGGAAGGAGTCACTTGTCCTGGGAAATGCCTCAGGTTTCAACAGGCACCCACAGTGAAGGAATCAGGGAAGAGCGTGGTCATGTGTTGGCCTTTGCCAAGGATATCACTACCTGAGTGTCCCCCCCCCAGCACCTCACACTCACTGTGATGGAAAGCAAGCTCATCATCTTTGCCCCTGCTGCTGTTCTTCCTCCTGACCTCACTCCCAGGTCTCTGGCAGATCTTTCCTGTTTGCACCCTTGGCATGGTCTTCAATGCTCTCTCTAGTCTGGGCCTTTCTTACTGGAGCCCTGGGATATAAGGGGAAAACAAGCGCTGGATTTGGAGACAACAGACCTGGGTTCCCAGCTGGCTCTGCTCTTCACTACCTCTTTAGTAAATTGAGGGGGTTGGATTAGATTTCTAAGCCTCTTCCCAGCTCTAAATCCTAGATCCTGTCACCCTGTCAAATTCCCCAACATCCAGCCCCAAACCATATCTGTTCCCCACCTCTGGTTATTAGTGAGAAAAGGGTAAAGAGTGTTCTGTAAACCTTAAAGGGTTATTTAAATATAGGGAGAACTGGGTGACAAGGAAACTCCAACCCTTTTAATAAAGTTTGTTAAAATTTAATAAAGTGCTGTTATCATTATTCCCACTCTGGTCACTCTTATCTGCTCCCTTATTACCACCCTGCCTATGGCAATAATATCTTAAAAGGTCTTTCTTTCAGTGGCTCCCCATTGCTTCTGGAATGAACTTGGTCCTGTGCCTAGTACTCAAGACCCTCCACTCTCCACAATTCTCTCAAATTACTTCCCTTGACACCTTCTATGCTACAACCAATCTCTGGATATCCCTATCCCCACCTCTCCCCAGCCACCCTAAATGCCTGGTCTTGGAACTGGAGTATCCTCCTTCCCATCCTTAGCTAGACATTGCATTGTGCTGCTTGAGGCAATTCAGTTAGGAGAGGGGAGAGAAAGCAGTAACTTGACTGGCAGAGGCAGGATTGTAAGGAGTTCCTCTGGATCGGAGCAGCTAAGGGGGAAACCTGGCGTAGCTTCCTGTAACTTGTCTGGCCAATTAGGTGCAAAATTCAGTTGTTTCCACAATATAAACGTATTTCCAGCACTGTCAGGGCCTCCTAAATTTCATTATCCTGGGAATGAAGCTACAACAGGCACATACTAATTACCTCAGCTCCTTTGCCTTCTTCAGTGGTATTCCTTCCCATTTTTAAAGCTCCGCTGACCTCCCACGGTTGGTAAGGACCTTTCCCTTCTGGACTTCAATTAGCACCTTGTTCTTCCCCTCTTTAATGTACTTAACCATAACATATCATTTTATATGACATTTGTGTTCGGGTCTTTTGTGGATTGCTAGACAGCTGCAACTCAATTAGGCATGGGTCCAGCACCTAGTATAGAGTTCAGCACATAAATGTTTGTCAAATGAATGAGACAATCAGATTGTTGAATAAATGAAAAAGGTGGCCCATGAATGAATGAACAGTCCAAATGTAGAGCATACCCCACTCAGCCAGAGTGGGGGGAAGAGGGAAATGGGGATGAGCTGAGGAGGGAAGAAGTGTGTGGATGTGTGCTAAGAATGAAAGGGAAGGAAGAGTTGATCCAGGCACTAGATAGCAACCAAATCAGTTGTAAAGTGTATCTCCGGAAGTCAAGATCTGCCCAGCTCTTGGGCACCAGCCACTTCTTGCACCGGGGGCTGGCTATGCTGAGGGCAAGACCCAAGACAACCATACTTTTCCTCCCACCAAATTCTTGATAACCAGTCTCCCCCTGGTCGTGCAAACCTGTCCTTTCCTAGGTTACCACCTCCCTCTTTCCAGGAGGCCCTCTGGGTCTACCTCATAATGGAGCTAGGAACCTCAAAGGAGATTCTGCATGAGTATCTCCTCTGTAGCTTAGCTGACAAAAAGTGGCCCCCAACCCCTGGCTTCAGAAGCTCTGGGGAAGGGGACACCCCCCCCCCCACTTCGTAAGACTAGCTTATCCCTCTTTTGAATAACTCCAGTTGTTAGGAAGGCTTTAGTCAAGCCTGAATTTGTCTGCAAGTTCCAGCCACGTCTCCTAGTTGCATCCTCTGCAGCCAAATAGAACAGGTCTGAGCTCTCTTCTACTTACAGCCCCTCAAACTCTTGAACCCTATCATGCTGGAGTCTTCCTTCATCTAGGCTAAATATGGCCAGTTCTTTTAACTCTATGCTCTAATTCAAAGCCTTTTTTGCATCATCTCTAAGACTCTCCAGTTTATTGATACCCTTCTAAAATATGGCATCCAAAACCAAACACATAGCTTCAATTTCAAGTTCAGCCGCTTATCTGTTGTTTGACCTTGTACAAGTCATCTCCCCTGACTGGATTCTTGGTTTTCCTATCTATCAAAGGGAAAATAATCAGCAAGGGAGCTGGAGAAAGTCAAGTGAGAGAAAAGGGATGGAAAGATATTTAGGAGAAAATGTTTGAAATAAACAGTCTAACTTTTCAGAAATGAACTTATGCTGTTAACAGAGGAGTTGGCTGACAGAGCTGGCCTTTCCTACAAACTTAGGAGAAGGAAGGAGAGAAATAGAAATGATCTGAACCTCCTCCTGATGACCTGGTCCCTAGTCCTTGGCTCCCTGACTGGGTGGGAAAGGAAGATCATTTCACTGAAAAAGGATTATAGTCATCCTTCTGGAGAGGAGGAAAAGCATTTCAGTCACCCAGCTAGTAAACTGGAGAATAAGGCTATGAACCTGATGTCCTGACTTCAGGACCAGCATGGGTTTCTGTATAGCATTGCAGAATCTTGGCAGATACCTGGTCAGCAAGGAAGAATTAACCCCACCCTGTCCTCACAGACACCAATCTAACCCTCAGACAGCAATCAGCTTTTCCCAACACTCATGAAACTGTAGTATAGCACTAGAAGGTAGACACGGGTGGGGTGGGATAGAAGGTTGGGTGGAGGAGACCATAGGAGGCCCAGCAGGGATCTTCCCTTTTGGACTCTTACAAAACAATCCTCACTAAGCCTCCCTCCCTTTGGTCCTTGCCCTGTAGGGCAAGGGGGTACACCACCTGACTTCTAGGAACCTGTCCAATTATCAGAATGCCACTCAAATTCTAGAACTGTGTCTGGATTCCATAAAACATCAGCCTGAATTGTACAAGATCCTCACCATTACAGAATATTACAAAGATTCAAGAAAGGGCTGGAGAGAGAACAGAGGAAAATAAATAATATCATCCTATATTGCTGCCCCTTAGATCTGGGGTGAGAAGGGGAAAGTGGATGGAGGGGTGGAGCAGGATCTTATCAGCACATCCCCTTAGCATTCAAAGTCAAGGCAGGGAGCCAACCAGAAGGAGGATTATCACCTTCTTACCCGTCAGCAGCCCCACTACACTCTTAGGTTCCTCTTGGTTCCTTGAACTTTTGCCTCCACCCCAAATCCAGCAATCTGGCCTCTAGCCAAGCTTCCTGAAACAGGACCCAACTATCCCTCCTCCTCCTCCACCTCAGTCAAAGGCTGAATGTCCCTCATGATCGTAGGCTAGGAAAGATGTCCTTCCTCCCTGAATAGACGAAATGACAAAAGGAGGTAAGGTAGTAGGCATCATTACAGCCCCCGTGACTCCAACCAACGCTCTTTCACCTGGGATGACCTCTCTGAAGTGTCACTGGATAGCGACTTTCACAGCTCTGACTTAGGAGTGTCATCTCTGTCTTAGAATCAGGAAGACTCGTGGGCTAGCTACACACACACACACACACACACACACACACACACACACACACTCACTCACTCACTCACTCACTCACTCACACAGAGTCGGCATGTCACTCCTTCCAAAACATAAACCCTAAACAGACAGGTGTCAGAAGAAAGCTAGGATCCTAGATTGGCCTGCGAAGTTCAGGCTGGCTTCCTCACATCTCCATCACTCAGGGACTCTCCTGTCAACAACCCCTTCTGGAGATCTTTCAGTCTTGGGAAAATGGAGAAAAATACTGAAAGTGGGGAAGTGGCGGAAAGACAGGAGGGAGGCACACGCTAAGCTGGAAGGAGAGAAGCAAACCCCGGGCAGAGCCACTAGTGAGGGGAGGTCGGGGTGGGGAGGTAAGGGTGGAAGGGGAATGCACCTACCCTTGTGCCCCCTCCCTAGAAGAGGGGGGGATGGGGAAGGACTAGGCGACACCAGGGGGATACCAGGGCGGAGCAGGGGTGGGGGTCCTTACCGACTAGGTGCCAGGACTTTCGGGGCCCGTAGTTCCCGCAGCAGCCCCCGGAGTGGTCCGCCTCGTAGCCCACGAGGGGCGTGCACACGCCGTCGGCCAGCTGGCCCAGCAGCAGCAGGACGCCGGCGCCCCACGAGCTGTAGCCCTGCACCGAGTGCAGGTACAGCAGCAGGTACGTGAACCACATGGAAGCGCACAAGTCGTTCAGGAAGTGGCCCACGGCATAGCTGAGCCGAGTCACCAGCGGCAGCGCCGGCTCCGCCATGGGCCCGGGCCGCCCGCCCGCCACCTGGCCCGGCCCTCCCCCTCTGCCCACCGCCGTCCGCCCGGGAGTCCCGCGGCTCGGCCGCCCTCCCTCAGCAGGACCGCCCCTTGCCCGGACTGATCCCTCTCGCCAGGCCTTGCTTTGGACTGGTCACTCTCCGAACCGGCCCCTCTCCGAACTGGTCACTTCGGGGACTGTCAGTCCACGAACGGGCCTCGTGGCTCACACGGCCCCAGTCATCCGCCCCAGGGCGGGACTGGCTGGGCGCTGTGCCCCTTCCCGGGGGCGGCCTGGCTGCCCTGAAGAGGACCCTTGTCTTCCGAGGACACGCGTGGGAGATCCTCGGCTACACCCAGTCCGCCGACACCCTGCCTGCCGAGCTCGCCTCCACCCCGGCCCGCACGGAGGAAGCCCCTTCTGCGAGTGCGGAGTCAGGTACCGGCTTCCTCGCCGATCCCGCCTGCAGCAGCCTGTACCCGGGTCCCAGAGACTGAACTGTGCCGGGCCAGGGGCTCAAGGAGCACAGGGGGGGATTCCCAACGATTGGCGGGCGCCTTGGCCAATAGGCGCCGGGAGCCAGGACCCGGCCGGCCGCAGGGGAGGTCAGGGGGCGGGACCTGAGGTTAGCCCCGCCCCAGTCTCCTCTTCGGCCCCAGCTGGGTCCCAGAACCCTGAGTCGCTGCGGTCGCGGTGGGTTGGCTCTGGCTGAGGCCGCAGCTGGAGAGGCCATCCCTCTTCCAGGGCTATGGAGCGGAGGAAGGAGGAGGGAACCCTTCCCCCCCCGACTCAGCCACGCCCAGGCTCGCGCCGGGCTGGTTTATTGGGATAGCGCTGTTGGCTGGCGCCTCTCCAGGCTCCCCTACTTTTCCAGGGCCCCGGGGCATCAGCGGTGTAGTTCGCGCCCCGCTTCCCTCCGCTGTTTCCCCCCCTCACCTTCGTCCCTCTCCCCTTTCCCCTTCTGTCCTACCTCCCTTCCTCCTCCTCCCGTTCCCCCCTCCCTCTCCCCCCTCTTCGTCCTCTGTCCCCCTTCCTTCCACTCCTTCCTCTCCCACCTTCCTCCCCTCTCCTCCCCGGAGGCCGCCCCCTGGGGCTTCGTACGCGAAGGGATGCATGGACGGACGCCCAAGGACAAGAGGAGACGGGTCAGCTTCAGACCCGATCCCCCCAGACCCTGGAGCAGACAGATCGCCGCTACGAAGAACGTACCCCTGGAAACGCGCCGAAACACAGAAACAAACAAATGCATTCACTCTACAGCCTCGTATCTATTAAACGCTCTCCAACAGGCCCTGGCTTTGTGCAAAGCACCCCCACCCCCGCACGCAGGACACTCACACTGTATCTTTGTACCCCTAGCACCTAGCACGACGCGGAGATCCCAGTAGGCGCTTAAATTGTTAACCTAGTTCAGTTGAGCCTGGAATCTTTAAAACTCTTCTTCTCTCTTTAGGGATGGGGCTGACCTAGAAAGGAGTGTGGGGCTGAAGCTCCGGGCGAGGATGGGGACTAGAGATGGGAGATTACTTCTGGGAGGTAAAATATCCAGGAAAAGAAAGGCCAGTTCGATAAGGACCCTGGAAATAAATGAAGGGATCTTTACCTCCGTAATCGTGTTGTTTCTGGTTTTAACAATCCACCAATCTACAAGCATTGATTAAGAAGTTGGTCCCTAACCCAATACCTCTAGCAGAGACTGTATTTTTTAAAACCTGTAACTACCCTGTGCAAATCGAATAGGATCTCCACTTCCCAAGTCCACGACCCTGTGCTTACCGGGGGAAAGAGAACCTGAGAGTCAGAAGTCAGGAAGTCGAATCTCTCAGAGCTGGAAGGAATCTCAGATCATCCAGTCTAACCAATAATTGATTAAGATTCCATTTTTTTTCAGTATTCCCAACTCACTCTGTCTCTATCTGAAGCCTTGAAGTAGGGGAAACACACTACCTCTTGAACTGGACAACCTCTCAGCCTTAGCAGCACTAGCTGAGTTCTGATCCAGACGCTGGCTTTGTGATCCTGGGCAAGTCAGTTTCCTCATTTGTAAAACAGGGATAATAATAGCATCTCAGGGATATTTTGAGGATCAAATAAGATAATACTTGTAGCATGCTTAGCACAGTGCCTGGAACATAGCAGGTGCTAAATAAATGCTCCATCCTTTGCCCCCTTCCCTTCCATCTTGAATCTGCCTCTCTTCAACTTGTAACCCGTTTGTTCTTAGTGGTATCTTCTGAGTGCAAATGCAACCTCTTCAATGACACTGATCTTGGAATATTGAAGGCAGCTATTATGTTCTTTCTAAGTCTTCTCCAGACTATTCCCCAGTTCCTCAGCTGATCTTCATATGTCTTACATGGCCTTTCACTAGCCTAGTTGGCATCCTCTAGGTGCTTTCCAGCTTTTGAATGTCCTTTCTAAAATGTAGTGCCCAGAATTGAACACTAATGTCCGGATATGACAGAATACTGCCCTTCCCCCACCTATTTTAGGATGGTAGATTCTGAGCTGGAAGGGCCCTTAGGGGTCATTTAATCCTACCCTCTCATTTTACAGGCTAGAAAAATGAAGTCCAGAAAAATCATATGACTTGCCCAAGGTAACATAGGCAATGAGTGGCAAGGCTGGGATCCAAATCCCAGACCTCTGACTCCACATCTAGCCTTCTTTCTGCTGCTCCAGTCCTGGGCATGATTCCTCTTAATGCAACAGAAAATCACAGGCATTTGCTAAAGGTCACTCAGTGAGTAGTGGAGTTAAGACCAGCTCTAACCTATTAATAATGAATCAACTGAGGAGCAATGTGCTTGCCTCTGCTTATTATCTGTAATGTGGAAATAATCATTCCTGCTCCTCCTTCTTCCCTCCTAGATGGTGTGGTGAAGATAAGATATGACTGGTCCAGAGACAACTTTGGAGATTAGAAACCGAGAGAAGCTTGGGTACCAAGGAACTGAGGGTGTGAAACCTGACCATGATTGGACCTTAAAATATAGTCAGAGCTAGAAGGAAACTTAGAATGTAGACAACACAATGTCAGAGCTGGAATGTATCTTAGGATGTAAAATGTTGGAGATGGAAAGGACCACCTAGTAATGAGAAAACTGAAGTGCAAAAAGGGTAAGTGGCCTCCCCCAGGTCAGTGGGAGTGCCAGAAGCGGAAACTAGGTATTCTGGTCTTCACAAGGACAAGCAGATGTGAATACAGAGGAAGGAAAAAACTGGAGACATTCAAGATGTCTGATATTCTAAATATCCCTCCCTATTGGCTCATTCCTTTTCCCCTCTCTGCCTGAGGCTGGCTGGGTAGCTGGGTTCTTTCCCGACATCTGATCTCAGCAGCTTCCCATAGAAGATCAAATATCCCACAGACTCTTCCTCCCAATCTTTCCCCCACTCCCTCCACCCCATCTATGCCATCCCCCACTCCTCAGATCTCAGTCACAACCTCCCTTGATCTTCTGGGCCCCTCAGACCCAAATCCTGCTGAAGTAAGAGGTTGCCCAGATCAAATGGAAATTGCCTTAGATCTGAGAATTGCTTCAGGGAATAGGTTGGAGCCTGATTGTAGGGGTGGGAAGTGTAATGGAGACCCTGATGAAAGCCTGTCTTTTACCCCAACTTCCTGAAGGCAGGAAACTCAAGAGTTTCATAAAGTCAAATTGAAAGAAAGTTATTGTCCCTGCCTCTCCTGTGCTCAATAGTCTGCTTCTGTTAGAAGGCATGTGGATGTCAAGGTCACTTTCCTGGTGCAGAATGGAGTCATGCTTAAGCACACACACAGGGATGCATGGTCACACAAAAGCATACATATGGATACTCCAAGAGAGGTACTCTCAGACACTGAGGAAGATACACATGGACTTCTGCCATAAGAGCCAGTGTTTAGAAGACAAATCCCTGCTCCACTTACCCTTTCCTTTTGAGGGTTTTACAAATAGATTGTATATTCTGAACTGGAGTGGATAAGATGTTGGAGCTGGAGTCAGGAAGACCTGAGTTCTACTCTGGCCTCAGACACTTATTAGTTGTATGACCATGGGCAAGTCACTGAGTCACTCTTAGCCTCAGTTTTATCATCTGTAAAGTGGGGATAATAAAAACACCTATCTCACAGGATTGTCATGAGGATCAAATGAGATCATGCATGGGAAGCCTTTGTAAACATTAAGAGCTATATAAATGCTAACTTTTTATTATCATTATTGTCATCACCTCAGTCTGGAGGTCTCAGTTTCCTCATCTGTAAAATGAGGATGACAATAATACCATCTATCTCCTACATTTGCTACGAGGATCAAATGAGGTGCTAAGGTCATCACCTTCAACTGGACCTGAAGGAACATAGAACTGAGAACATTCAAGCTGGAAGAGGGACTTAGAACACAGAATCTTCTAAGACGATGGTGTGTGTCCAGGTGTCAGTATCTCAGTATATCTCTGTGTGTGTCCCTGTCTGTCTCTTCAAGCATCTGTGTGCTGGCCCTTGTATGTCAGTGCATCCCTGTGTATCCCAGATTGTGTGTCTCTGAGCGTGACTCCACTCTCCACCAGGAGAGTGGCCCTAGCATCCTCGTTTTCCACAAGGGTCCAGGCTGGGGGCAGAGCTGGTGAAAGGATTGGATAGAGTACCTGACTTGGATTCAGGAATACCTGTGTTCCAACCCTGCCTTGGACACTTAGTAGCTACTATGGACAAAGCACTTAACTTTTCCGGGCCTCCCTTTCTTCATCCATAAGATCAGAAGGTTAGAATTGAAGACTTCTGTGATCTGCTATTAACCATGGAGAATTCTCCATGGAGACATAGGAGAAGAAACCCTGCCCTTGCCAGTTTGGTTGAGAAACAGTTGGAGACAAAAGCTGTACCAAGGCCAGTTGTGGTCTGTGCAGGGTCATTGAATCAGATCGGGCTAGAGGAGCTGAGCAGAGAGATTTCTGATAGCTAGATAGTACAGTGGAGAGAGCAGCAGGATTGGAGTGAAGAGCACCTGAGTTCAAATTTGATCTCAGACACTAATTGTGTGA